TATTGCAGTGAGCTTGAATGAGTGAAGTGAATGTCAAGTGAATGCTTTGAGAATGAAAAATTTGCACTTTGTACTTGAGGTTCAGAGATTTTTCATTGTGTGTTGAAAAATGTTCAGGAGGCTCTGTCATCTCATTATATTGGAAAAACTTCAATGCCTTATTTATATATTACCTGAGCCTTTAAAGTTTGAGCAATAAGGAGTTTTTTTGTTTTTTTTAAATCTTTTCTATTTCAATAGTTTATAATTGTTTCAGTTTATTTGGCTTTGTTTTCATTCCTGTTTGTTGGACTTGTATTGGGTACATTTCAAATACTGTAAAATATTTTCGCTTGGAATTAATTTTCGCTATTTTCGCTGAAGGAATGATTAAGTGAAAATAGAATCCAGTGAATATATCTTTTTTCCTATATTTTACATTCAACTCATCAAAAATAAATGAAAACAAAATCCAGCAAATACACCCAAAAAGTCATTTCAGCGAAAATTAATTCCAGCTAAAATAAAATATTTTACAGTATCCTATTCTATCCTAATAGGTATAGGTTAAACATCCTGGTATTGCCTTGGGGGAGGTGGGTGTATGTTTACTATAATGTGATGGAAGTACAAAATCAAAATTATTCTATTCAGTACACCAGTGCCAGTATGTGTGACTTTGAGGGTCAATAATAGGATTTATTGACCTGGTCTGAGAATGATATCAAGCATTACTATCCCTCAGCCAATCCTCAAGGCAAAATGTACTGAGGGTGAACAGCTGATAAATTGAAATGACCTCTAGAAATGATCAGACTGCTTTAGCAATGTTGTTTATTGATTACAATGTCTGGTCTGAGATTGTAATAGAATCCTATAATAATGCATTAATAAGATGCAAGCAGCCAATAAAACATTCAAAACCTAATTTAACTTGAGATGAACATATGTTAGCAAATCAAAGCAAATGTTATTATTTATAAGCAGCAGTTGTAATCGTTGCTAAAACCTGCGAATCACTGAAACTCTATCATTCACTGACCGCTAAGTAAAATATGCACCAAGTTTACATTCTACCTGTGTGGCAGAACACAGTCACAGTATTTGACCAAACCTTGCATGTTATTTCCTTCTTACTGTTTGTCTTTGAGCACAATCTTTGATATTCCAGTCCAAGGTAATAGTTGTACAGTTTTACTTGTTGTTTGGATTAATGTATTTAATGGCCAGTTTGGGGTTTCTTGACTTCTCTGCATTTGAAAGAATCATACCTTGAGCTGCGATTTGTAATAACAAGGTTGGATGGGGTATGAATGCATGAACATAGTATTCATTACATGGC